CCCGCCTCGCCCGTGCCCGCTCCAGTGCAGTCAGTGGAGCTGAGCCCGTCGGGAGCCCCTGGCGCGGGCACTGACGCAGAGGGGGTCATTCACACACGTGGGCTCCACGGCCACACCGCGGGAGCCAGCCCACGGGGCCCACGGGGCCAGGACCTCTCCTGCCCACGGCGGGGTCTCAGCCTTAGTCGTTACCTCGCGACAGGCCCAGCGGGACACCACCATCCAGGTGGCACCAGGAGCTAAAAAGCCCAGTGACTTCACTAAGCAAATTTTTTCTCCCCCAAATTTCAAAATTCCTGATCTGGATAGTGGCCCATCTCGAAAGGCCCTGAGCACATTGGCTGTTCAACCATGGCCACTGGTCACACACGGACGGTTCCACGTGCAGCGTCCCACTTGCTCCTCCGCTCAGCTCTCACTGTGTTTCTCAGGCTCCTTCAGTGACTTTGGAGGTCACTCCACTCACCATGGGGGGAACTCGCCCCCCGAGTCGAAGCTAACGCAGAACAGACTGCGCCCAGCAGTGGGCGTCCACAAGGCAAAAGCGACCCAGCCAGGGGGCCACGGCGCCCCTGATCCTTGCCACGTGAGACACGGTAGCTGGGAACGCACTTCAGCAGGTGTGAGGAGCGGTCTTGATTCGTCCTACTGCTTAGGAAGGCGTCGAGCACTCGTTCCGCCTGGCTCCAGGCAGGTCGCAGAGGCACACAGGGCCGCGCGCACACGAGCACACGCACACTTGCAGTGCCACCGCGGGGGGCTTCGGGGTCCTGCAGACCAGCCCGGACCCTGCCACCGTGCCCTGGGGCGGGCAGCAGAGCCCTGCCACCAGTCATGCTTCCTTAGTTCCTAATTTCTGGCTTTCTGAGTTTTCTGTATAAATAGTTTATCCAGACTTTTAGGTAAAACTACTCATAGGAGGCAGGAGAATCTCCTCTACCAACGGGAGGCAGCAGGACATGATCGCCAGGCTGCCACCGCGAAGCACGCGGTCCTCCCGTGCAGGACGAGACTCCCTGGGAATCTGGGAGCCAAACGCCCGGAACCGTCCTTCCATGCCGATCTCCTGAGAGGCGCCCACAGCGGAAAGGAACTGCAGGCTGGACCCGGCTGCCCGCCCCGCCAGAGGCAGCTCCAGGGCCGGCGGCCCAAGGACAGGAGGGCACCTCATCTGATGGAGATTCTACGGTCACACATGCTGATGCACAGAAGCGCCAAATTAAAATGGAAACCAAATCCAAGCCACTCAATTCAATACCTGCACAGGTGAGAGGGAGGGGATCCCCGCCTTGGGTGACTTGGCTCCACCAGGACCACTTCTTCAGTCCCCTGCGTCACACCTGTGGTGCTCCTGGGGCGGGGTTTACCTGGCTTGGCACAGCTAGTTCTAGCGCCTGGCTGTCCACAGACAATGGAGGGGCCTGACTGACGTAAGAACAGAGGGGACAGGTGCACAGGCAGGAAGCCAGCTGCACAGGAGCGCCCCACACTGACCCACCTCCCGGGCTCTGGATAGCACCTGCGACAGGTGCGAGCTGTGCACACATCCCGCGAGCAACGCTCAGGCCTGAGGAACGGTAGGCGCGGCGTGGCGACCCAGGCCGTGAAACGAAGGGGCGACTCAGACCCATCCCTGGCGGTGGCACCTTATGTGTTGAAGTGGAAAAGAACCAGTCCTGCTACCTTGTCCTCGGGGCTCTCGCTGGGCAAGCAGGGTCTGGGTGTCCTGGCCAAGGGGCTGGGAGCCTGAGTGGCTCCTGCCTGAGCCACGAAACTCATCCCTGATGATCTGAATCTGGGCCACCAGAGCCAGGGGACAAAACAGAACAAGGCACGCGTTACCACCACAGCAGCACCCTCAAGACTCCGGTGGGGCTTGGGAGACTCCAGGAAGCCCGGCTTCCAGGCTGAACACCGTGGTCAGCACCAGAGCCAATGGAACAGACAGCCTAGGACACGCAGGTGTCCCTGCAGGACGCCCCTCACGGCTGGGGCCACACAGGTGTCATGCACAGAGAACCAACATCCACACCTGGAGTCTCAGTGCTCCTCTTCAGTGTGTCTTGGAGCAGCAGCTAATAATGCTGTTGACAGGTGTCTTGTGACCATGTCAGGCCCCATCCGCAGAGACTCTGGATGCCTTAACAACACCTTTGTCCTCCAAGTGCAGGCACCACGTGTGAACCAGAGGCAGATGAGGGGCACCGGGCCACACTGTGCACACGCTCTCACGGTACCAGACCAGGCAGGGGCCAGCAGGAGGCAGGTGCCGCTGAGCTCCAGACGCTCGCTCCTGCACTGTCAGCAGAGGTGACGGCAAGTGCCAGCGCAGGCTTCTTCCATTTCAGGCACAGGAGGGGCGGGGGAGGGCCTCAACCTCAGCTTCCTCAGGCGGCGGCAAAGCGTCCACTCGGCCGTGCACCAAAACCTTCCAGCCCCAGCCAGGTGTAACCTCCCAGTGGTTTGGACGTGGAAACCACTGCCTGGAGGCTGAAAAGCTCACCTGTGGCCTGAGGGCTCCCACCCTCCAG